TGCATTAGAATGATCAAGTGTTCTGGGATTCCCATTCTTCTCAGAGTCAACCACCGTTTGTTATGATCCACACAGTCAAATGCCTTTGCATAGTTAATGAAACACAGATAGACATTCCTCTGGTAACTCATCTTATTTTGCATTTTTATTATTACCATTTTCATTTGTCTATAGGGGTTAGGAGCATCCAGATATCTTTTAGTATATATTGAAAAAGTCTTTATGCTGAGCAAATCACTCAAGTAGCTAGACTAGGATAAACATTGCATCAAAATCAGGAAAATTCAATAACCTGTCTTACACAGATGACTCAACCTTGCTTGCTGTAAGTGAGGACTTAAAGCAATTGTTTCAGAAGATCAAAGAATTCAGCCTTCATTATGACTTACATCTCAGGAAATTAGGAGACATATTGTACTGGGAAAGACTGTAGTTAGGTACCTCTCAAAATTATTGAGAAGTGTGATGTTAATTTGAGGACTAAGGTGTATCTGATTCAGGCCATGATCTTTCCCATAATTTACTTACCATGTATCTCAGAATTGAACAATGAGTAAGAATGACAAAAGAATTGATGCCCTTGAGCTGTAGTGTTGCAGAACAGTATTGACTATCCCATGGGATGCCAAAAGAACAAATACATCTTGGAGAATGTCCACCTAGGGTATACTTAGAGACAAAGATGATAAAGCTGCACCTTACATACTTTGGGCATGTTGTTAGGAGGGGCTGTTCCTTGGAGAGGGACATGATGCTTGGAAATTCAGAGGGTCGGCGAAAGAGAGGAAGACCCTCAACCAGGTGGACTGACACTGTGCCTGCTGCAACGGGCTCTAGATTGTCAGGATGTGTGAGGGTGGCACAGGAGAGGACAGGGTTCATATCTGTTGTACGTAAATTGCTATGGGTCATACTTGACTTGATGGTACCTAACAACAATAACATCTAAAAAATACATAAATAATAAAGATTTGTTCTGGTCATGAATAGGAGTTGGACAATGTTGACCTTTTGTCTACTGTAATAATTACAAGGTATGTGTCAGGGCTGTAACCTTTCTCTA